CCTTGTAATCCCTTAGCCTTCTGGGAGGCTGAGGGCGGGGGATTGCTCGAGGTCAAGAGTTCGAACCAGCCTGAGCCAAGAGCGAGACCTCGCCGTCCTCTACTATAAATAGAAGAAATTAAATTGGCAACTATATATAAATATATAAAAAATTTAGCCGGGGGCTGGTGGCGCATGCTGTAGTCCAGCTACACTAGGGAGGCTGAAGGCAGCAGGATTGCTTGACCCAGGAGTTTGAAGGTTGCTGTGAGCTAAGCTTGACGCCACGGCAACTCCACGTCTAGCCTTGTGCAACAAAGAGAGACTCTGTTCAAAAAAAAAAAAAAAAAAGGAACAGTGTCAGGGACAAAAGCACAATACAAGTGATAATTGCGTTTATGCCTATCCTAAGCTGGAGGGAACAATGGTATCACATACCTAATTCAGAGAATATGTCAAGTAAAAGTATAATGAGAGGAAATGCCAAAATAAACTGAGGGACGTGTACTGCTTTGCAACATATGTCATTGAATGTCCGGGTTTTACTGTTCAGGATTAAGTTGAATTTTGGCAATTTTTCTCCTTGCCCATGGCACTTGGAATACACTTGCTTTTTGCAATACTTGGAGTATACTCCCTGAGATGATTATCTTTCATTTCCCACCAGCTTTTTAAACCAGCTGTCCTCGCACTCTGACCTGTATGGACTATATCGATGGGTACTTGGCCTCTGATCTTGTTCTGGATTTTTTGCCATTGGACATCGCTTGCAGGAGCCTAGGAAAGGGAGGAAGGTGAGGGAGGCGGTTTTCATCCTTCTCCACTCCCCCTTGGTAGGCCACAGGTGTTTAGGTGCAACTCTACTGCGGCCACAGATCCTATCAGCGTGGGCCTTTCTAGCAGAACCACTTCAGATTTCAAGCAACCCGCCCACCGACCTAGCCCTGTCCAAGTGAGGAGACGGCTCCTTCCCTCCCGATCTCTTGCCCTGGAGTCAACACTTTGTCTGGTGGTCTCCCTGCCATACTGCCCTTACTGCTTGCAAAATACCCTCATTATTAACAGTCTTTCCCAAATGAGACCCGGTTATGAGGGTGCCAAAACTTCAACTGCCGAGACTCTGGATGATAGAAACCTATATCGGCATTTCAATTAGCTGATCATTGTAGGCTGCAAAGCAAGTGTATTCCAATGCCATGGGCAGAGAAAATGGCCAATCACTGATCTGAACAGTAAACCCGGACATTCATGACATATGTGCAAAGCTGTACACGTCCCTCGGTTTATTTTTGGCATTTCCTCTTCATTATACTTTTACTGACATATCTCTGAATTAGGTATGTGCATACCATTGTTCCTCCAGCTTAGGATAGGCATAACTCAATTATCACCTTGTTTGTGCTTTTGTCCCTGACACTGTTCTTTTTTTTAACCTGCCATTAGTTCCGATCATTCATGGATCAAGGACCTGACACAAAGAGTTTGATTCCCCCTCTTTTTTTACCCTTGTCACACCTCAAAATATCCAAGCTCTATTCACTCAATGTGCTAATTTTAATCACAAGTATATCTCTCCCCTGC